ACATCGTCCTTTGGCGGGGGCGGCGGCGGTCCTGGCGGCGCCTTCTTGCTCCCGCTGCGCCAGAATGCGCTGGAAAAGCGCGAACCCTTCTTCTTGTCCAGAACGGACATGGAGCATCCGCAAGTGCGCTTCAATTCTAAACAATAGTAAATAGTCTCCTCAGTGCTGTCAATGCTCTTATGTCTAACTCCCCCGCTTCACGTCAATCACCGAGGCTAAAATTGAATCCCTCCCAGCGCCTGCAAAGCGCGCCCAATATCCTATCCTTAGACCCTCCCCCGCGAACCCCGAAGCTGTGTTCACTCCGACCATTAGCCATTACTCTGGATCGATACTCTGCCTGGGCCTTACGGCTACAGCTGACAATCATGATCGTTACTTTGCCGCGCCGTACTTGCTTCAACCGTTGCCACATCGTGCGTCAAGACATCACTAATCTCGTGTGGGATGTGCACCAACCAGCTTCAGTACAAATTAACGGACCAATCAACTTCCTGTAGAACTGGTACGGACAGCACTAATTGATTAAAACGTTGCATTGCCTAGAAATGAATCTCAAGTCCTCCTAGCCTAACCTCACGCCCAACACAGCAAAGCTCCAAAGCAATATCGACCTCTTCTACAGGTGGTCTCGCCGCCGCAAATTCATGCTCATTAGCCCACTGAAATAAATCTTTGGTCCTTTCCCCGTCCTGCGCGTGGTCCCCAGATTCAAATACAACAGGACCTCCACACATCCTAATATGTTTGCAGCTCCCTATGCCGACGAGGTGTCAAAAGCCAGGAATGTGGCGAATGCGACATTTGGCGCTGTGGCTCCCTTCCCGTTCACGAGGGGCTGCGACTTTACATGGCCTGCGTCGCGTCGATTACTATCTCATCTCAGGCGGCGAAATCTACGTTAGTGTCGGACCACAGGAACGCCGGGAGCTGCCGCTCCTCGACATACGTGGCTGTGTAGATCCTGTCGGATCGCTGTCGAGGAATGAAGCTCACGCGTTCCTTGTCTGCGTCGGAAATGAAAGACAGACTACAGCCTCTCTAGTATACGTGATCTGAACGACTATCATCAGATTTCACGCCCGGTAGACTAGAGAGGCTGAAACGACAGCCCTTTCGAGCGAGCTGCATGCATGACATACGAGACGATGTTGGTGGGTTCCTACACAAGTGGTCCCCCGACCCCTCAAATGGTTGCCGTCATTGCGCAAAATAGGAGTGCAATTTGTGGCAGACACATTAGCCGTGTACGATGCATTATCCACGCTATATACCGGCGAGACTGTATATGGCCCCCGCAGCGGTACAATTAAATGGAGACCTGTTTTCCGAGTCTTCACATCTGTTTGCCGTGGAATCCGTGAGACAGAACCTTCTTGCACGTTGCACGGTGCGCGTGAGATGGAACCGGTCACAGAATTCTACATGTCCGCTAGCATACATCGGCGCTGTGTATGCTATAGCGACGAGCCCGGCTATGTTTAATCCGAACTGGGACCGCTGCGGTACCGGTTACGGTTAAAATATACATTCTTTCCTTCCTTCCACTTGTAGGACCATGGAGCAAAATCGCCGGGGACATCGAGAACGCCACAAATCTCCACAAATAAATGCAACAGCTATTGCACGTCTTGATTAGATCTCGAGCGGCTCTTGAAATTCTGTTCCTGCCCAACACAATCGCTGTCTGTCAGATTCGCACTCGCCCGCGCCGTCTGACGCGCCCACCGCGCCTTGATGCGCACTAGCGGTGGTGGTCGAGGTCTGAGGTCATGGTGCCTCGAGCTTGCTCGGTTCTCCTTTTTATTCATTTTAACACCGCTCCGAGAAGGAACCGAGTTATAAAATATGTACAGACCACCAACTCCTCCTCCCTCTACTGCACCATGTACCGCTACATCGAACGCCGCAACAAGCCCCGCACAGTTCCCATGCAGGTCCTCGCCCTGGGGTTCTCGCGCACAGGCACTTTATGCAAGTGGACTATCGATAAAAAAATTCTCGCGTCTGACATAGTTTTCATACATACAGCGATGTGCATCGCTCTCGAAAAACTCGGCTACAACGAGACAAACCACGGCTTGACGGTCTCGACGAGCCCACTCGAGATGGAGATGTGGGTAGAAGCTATCAACGCAAAATTCTTCATGAAAGGCAAGCCCTATGGACGCGCCGAGTGGGATCAGCTGCTGGGACACTGCGTGGCGAGTCTCGCTTAGCCTGTGATTGTCTTCAATCGACATTGAACGAGGTTTGCAGGCCGTGACCGATATGCCCCACATCCTGTTCGCAAAAGAGCTCATCTCCGCGTACCCAGAGGCCAAAGTCGTGCTTACCACACGCGACGTTGACAGCTGGTGGAGATCTTTCAAGGATACTATTGGCGGCGTACTGGCGATGCCTGTGGGCGAACTTACCGCTCGCCTCGTAGCCGACACCGCTGGCAGGGTACGAGAGGTCTTTTTCCTTTCCCCCAATGAACCACACTATGTAACCTCACACGTCTAGGATCATCAATTCTGGCTCCTTGCTTTCAACGCCATGTTCGGAACCACCAACATCACGGAAGAGATCGCGAAGAGGCGTTACATCGAGTATTACGACGAGGTCCGGTCCCTGGTGCCAAAAGAACGATTGCTCGAGTATCGCGTCGGTGAAGGTTGGGAGAGCTTGTGCAGGTTTCTCAAGAAGGATGTTCCTGCAGAGCCGTTCCCGAAAGTTAATGATACCCAGTCCTTCCAGGACAACATAAAGCAGCGGGTGAACGCGGTCTTGCGCAGAGCCGCGGTCAAGTTCGTGGTACCGGCGGTTTTGGTGTGCACCTGCTTGACGGGTTATTTTATTATGGTTTGAACATAGATTTATTTATTCAATAACTGATTTATTTAATTGAAATAATGGGAATCAGGAATGAGCCATAGGTATCAATTTTGTGTGCTGATGCGAAAACCAGTTAACCTGCAAAAGACTTGATTTCTCACAAAGTTGAATAGGTTCCGCTAAGTCGGCACAGTACCAACAACAGGCCGAATTGCCGATTTGAAGGACAGCAAAGACCCGTCTAATGAATTAAAACGCATTGCCTAGATGTATATTGTAATTCTCAAGTCCTCCTAGCCTGACCACACCTGGAGAATCGACGAAAAGGATCCGCCGATCTGCTCGCCACTTGAACAAAAGAGTCTGAGATTTATATACATTACAAGAGCGCCCGCCCCACCACTTCAAATGAGCTGCATCATCGTATATTGAGCGCTTCGACCTGTCGAGTTGATCTCGAGAGAGATTTAGCATCGGAATAAATAAGCTGAGCTTACAGTAGGCCATCCGCAGACAGAGTGGGTGGTGATGGAAAAGGTTTCAGACACTGGCAGACAGACAGACACGAGTAGTAATTTTGTAAATAGGGTGATAGCGTATTTGGACGACAACTTCATCCCATCCATTCTCACAATGGGGCAACTTCGCAAGTCAACATGCCGGTGTTCACGTTATATCCAATGCAGTTATCTTTCGGAAAAGTGGGCGAATAAGTACAAGTATGTGCAAGCAATATTATTATAGCATAGGACTTACTCAACGGGAAAGTGACTGGGTGACCTTGGCATGTGCAGCTAAGTGTTGTGCCTCCAACCACAGAGCACGCAATACAATCCTGACTGGGATCATCTACAACCACCCTGAAAGCAAGATGCATCAGTAATCAGTACTCCTTGAATGAATCAACCTACCCGTTGGGGAAGGGGCACGCAAGTCGGAATGCCAGTTCCTCGTAAGCGAAGCAGTCGATTGAGAGGTTGATAGTGGCTTGCGACACGACCCCAGCGGCATTCGTGCAGTCTGCGCTCATAAAGAGCCCGTCAAAGAGGGCCGGGTTGATGCAGTGGGAAAGGAAGCCTTGTCCGTAGACGAATGGGAGCAGCACGGAAAGGGTCACGATGGTGGCGGCAAGCTTCAAGGCGGTTGGCATGGCGGGTTGGAAGATTCTGGATGCTCAGAGAACCTGGAGAGACGAGATAGACGAGCTTTTATGGATTTTCGCCAGCCGACGGCATGGGTGCAACTGCGACCTTTCCATTTTCCATGTCCGCCCTATGGCACCGACTCCACCCTGGCAGTAGAACTCTTGCCATAGACAGTTGTACTTGACAGAGAATCCTGCCAGTGCTGATAAATGAGCGCTGTTGGCCCCAAATACTTCAATGGCAATCGTTCCTTGACTTCAAACAAAAACAGGAGCAAGAACTTGAGAAAGAATATCCACAGTTGGAAGAACAGGAGTCGCAAAATTCGCGCTTCATCGAGCCGGAGCTTCTGGGCGTGGCTCGCAGATCAATCGTAGAAAGCCGACGGTGAGATGAAGCAGGCAGATGAGAGTCGGATGACTTTGGCAGATATGCCGACTGACTGCAGCCGCAGACACAATGGGCACGACTCAGAATCTTGTCTCTTTTTTTGGTTAGTGAAGTTGTCTCGCGGTGTGTCGCTCGCCCAAAAACAATCTAACGCCTGTCAAACCTTTTATACGACTGTACCTTACCCCATTTATCGCCAGTGAACCCCTCATCGACGGATAAAGCGGGACTCCTCTTCATCCCTATGACTCTGGATATAAGTTAAATAAAGTTGACAATCATCTTACTTCGAGTTTCAATGCTGTAGATTGTATACAGTCACTGGAAGAACAGGAGTGACGCTCAGGCTTTATCGAGGGAGCCCCAGGCCAGTAGTTGGTGCGCCATCGCAGAAAGCCCGAAGGAAGCTCTGAAATTAGATGAGATAACGGCCGATATGCCGAGTTGTTTGACGGATCAGCAAATAAACAAACGCTCTTGCCCCAGAAAGGAAGTCAAGTCCACCAAAATGTATTGGAAGTGAACTACACACCTGAAACCACGACCTCAAAATAAAAACGAACAAGTAATATCTGCGAGATGAACCTGAGAAAGAAACCTGGATGGCACTTAATGTGCTGGTCTCAAGAATTCAATGCGAGTAAGGGTTGGATGGCCGAGTGGTCTAAGGCGCCAGATTCAGGACCCGCACCTCATTGGTGCATATCATGTGTAGCTTACACATTCTGGTCTTTAATTAGGCGTGGGTTCGAATCCCACTCCAATCATGTTTTGCTGTGTGGCGACTTTTTCAACAGGATTCCGATGAAGTTACGCAGCTGATGGAGTCCATTTGTACGAACGCTCGAAAATGTTTTACGCACCTTGATCTGACACCGGGGGCAAAGACCCAACGCATTCGAAATTGAATGCGGCGGACGCATCCCATCCGCATTTGGCGTGACAGCTTACAGCGTGGGTCAAAGGCGGTTTGTAGGGACAAAGGGTACATAAAGGAAAGACAAAGAAAAGACAAAGGTTTCTTGGGACGCCTCTGGCGCTCCCAGAACCCCCAGGGGCAGCCCAGGAAACCTTTGTCCTTCCTTTATCCTTCCTTTGTGTGCCCTTTGTGCCTGTAAACCACCTTTGTGTGAGCTGTCACACTGTGACACCAAATGCGTCCGCCGCATTCGAAATCAAATGCGCTGCTCTTTGCCCCCGGTGCATGAGTGGTACTTAAGTAACATAGAAGCCGGGCATCGGTTGAGGAGCCGAATATCGGCATGCGCCGGAAGTTGCCGCCGGCCCGGGTTGCACCCATTTAGCCGACATTTACACAATCCACAGGTTCTGACTCGGATAAATGTCTTACATTAGACTCACCTCAACATTTGGCTGTTAACTTCAGTACAAGTGGGACTGCAATCCAGATCAACTGGGCGGAATCTCAGAATCAAAAAGGCTATAATTTGACACTTTGCCGGGCATCTGACGGCGAGGCTAGTTCAATAAACTCTCCCACCCAATTTTTTTTTCTACATTTCAATTACCGAGTCTTTAGCAGTTACACCAATTCCAAACTAGGAGAAATGACCGTTGAAAAATTCGTATCTTTGTATCACCAGCTTCCAAATTATGAAGCAGGTCGGGGTACTAGCTAGCAAGATTGGGCGTCGTTGGAGTCAGGGAGTATTGTGGTTATTTGGCCAAGGGCTGCAGTCTTGTCAAGGAGGCACACAAGAGTGTAACTTTCTTCTCCTGTGATGCACACTCAAAAAGAGGTTTTGCATCCTTCCAAAAATATTTTGCTTCTTCAAGGTCACCATGCTCCAAGCACACATTTCCCAGTTGCAGCATGCATTCTGCTCTGCTGCAGTGAATATCCAGCCGAGTGAATCCCTCAAGCGCAACAGTCCACAGGGTAATTGCAGTCATAGTATCTCCCTCTGCATGAGCAAGGTCTCCTAGGAACTGTAGAGATCTGTAGAGCGCTCGTTTCTCCTTCGATTTGACCGCTTGCGCCAACAAAATTGTTGGCCAAACATCTGTCCAACGAAACGAACCCCAGCGAGTGATATCACCGAGCTTCTCCAAGATCAGTGTTGTTAGCTCACTGTACTTTCCCCAAGACAATTTGAGGCTCTTCTCGAACATCTCTTTTGCAGTATGTCTATTTCCTTCCCGAAGAAACAAATCTGCTTGGATAGTATCACATCCAGCAATGTCCATGGTTGATGCATTTTTGCTGTATATCATCCGAGCCACATCAATGTTTTTCTGCACAAGGTCGGAAGGTGCATCCATCAATACATCTACCTCCGCAATATTACAGAGGACAAATGCATGCATTGACGGATTCTGCTCGAGAGGGAATTGCTGAAGAACCTGTACTTGGATACTCCGGGCTTGAGTATATTCTGTTTTGATCTTGTGGACCTCAGCCCAAGAGGACATGATGCTGGCCTCCAGCTGACACCCAGACATGCCACATTGTTTTAGAAGAGAAATTGCCCTCTCATAATTAGCAACACTCTTGGAATAGTCACCAAGTGCCTGCCAACATAATGCTTCAAGACGGAGTGCACCGGCTTCTTTCAGACAATTGCTGCCAAGTTGTGCAATTTTCTGTGCTTTGTAGGCGTGAATCTGTGCACCGGTATAGTTCCCAAGATTCCATTCGATGATAGTAAGTCCATCTAGTGCATCAAACTGTTGGTTGAATTTTCCGGTTGAAAGAGACAAAGTGAATGCTTGTTGGAAGAAATCAGCTGCCTTGGTGATATTGTTGGCTGTAAGATAAAGGCGACCAAGACAATTATGAAAGTCACCTGAATCAAATATTTGAGTGCCAAGAGAAGGATAACAAACTATAACTTACATTTGACAATCAAGTCATCAAAGTGTGGGAAGTGTTCGAAAGCTTGTCCGATCAAGGCTTCTGAATCAAAAATTTTCTGAGACCTCTGTGAATGCAAAGTCTCTAATATGAAACACACTTGGAGCCTGTGGTCATTTTGTATGGACAAATGCAGATGGATCTGAGCCATCAATGGAATTGGCATGTATCCATGATACCGAGCAAACATGTTCAGGTTGATTGCACAGTATATGGTGCAACTGTGATCCAAGTGCACCTTCTCAATCCTGAATGAAAGGATACTTTGGATATTTGCGAAGCTCGAGGATATTTGGCCAACTATCTTGGTGCCTCCCATGGTTCCAAAGTTGTCTTTGAAAAGTTCCAAGAGGTCCTGGTAGTGCCAGAACAAGGGATCAATTATCTCGAACTTTGCAGAGTAATATTTCTGGACATGCTCCCGGATGGGCAGCAAAACTTTCACTCTTTTCTGGCCAGAAACATAAGCCAATGATGTGCAAAGCAAGGCCACTTTGCAACTAAGGATGTCTTTGAGTGGAAATTTGCAATGTATCAATTCGGTGTCCGAAAGTCCATCCGGAAGCATGGATAGAATGTTGAGAAGCTCCATAGCACACGGAATAGATGTAAGCCTTGGACTTGAGAGGGACAGTGAAATAGACATGTCCAAGTTCGACTTTTTGTCATATCCCCCGGATAATAACCCTGTTTTTTCCTCCTCCCAACGAAAAAGAACCCTGGGACATCCCTCAGTATCTGCAAGATGCGCCATTAAGGTGATTGCAAGAGGCATGTTGTTGGTTAAACACAAGACCTTGTCAACATCACTGCTTTCGTGAATGTCGTCTGCAATGTCAATGAACGTTTTCCGAGCAGCCTCTTGATTTAACGGCACGAGCGGACACAAAAAAGGGTGGTTCCAGGGCACATTGGCCGGACGCTCAGCCCCTCGCATAGTAATCTAGCCGGATGCTCATCATTCAGTGCTGCAGAAATCTCGGGATGGTAACTCACAATTATAGCCAAATTCTGGATACCCGCAAGCAAAGACAAGAATGCTTCAGTTTCACGACGTGAACAACTTGGTTCCCAAACAGTCTCCAGGTTGTCAAGAATCAAAAGAAATGATCGGAGGCTAAAGTGCTGAATGATCTGTCTTTGAAGGTGTTTCCCAGGGTTCAATCCGAGATGAGCCCCAAGAAGAGTGATCAACTCTTCTTTTGTTGATGCTGAATCACAGCCCACAAAGATGCGGTTGTCTTCATATTTGAGAACCAGGTCAGGGTGATGCAAAACAGCCTTTGCCAGGCTAGTTTTGCCAATTCCTGCTGGTCCTAAAATTGCAATTCTTGGGGCTGCCAGAGTAAATAGCCCGACAATGTCAGCCAGTTCCGAGTCCCGGCCATGGAAGATCTTGGGCTTGGATGGGAGCATGGAAATTGAGGTTGAACTGGAACATTTCAGCCATTAGAATTAGGACAAGAGGAAGATATAACCTATTGAATAAATCCGAAAAGATAGTATTCTTCTGTGAACGGTAACTGAGTGTTCCCGTCCAGATAAAACATACATACGGAGTCTGTATCCGAACTGGAGCGGTATTCAATCATATCCAAAACTTCTTGGTGCATTTCAGCCGTTTGCTTTTTCATTTTCTCAATGTCGATGATAAGATTGGCAGCTTGACTCTATACGATAACTTCAGTACGTGACTCCTCATCATTTAGTTCTTTCACCTTGAAGAAATTCGATATTTGCTCCAATTCCGCTCTGCACTCCTTCAACAATGCACTGGATTGGCCCTGACGGAAGAAATTTCTCATCTTGCTTCCGCCTTGTTGTGCTTCGATAACCGTGCAAATTTTATCAAGTGACCTGGTTTGTTGAAATGAACCAATGGCAAGCAGTCCATGTATTGACAGGCCTACCTGGTATAATCCCGGATACGGTCTAGCGTACTTGCCGGAAGCTCTGCAGGTGGGCTGGAATCAAGGTAGAGAGCAATGATGGTGTACAATAATTCAGCGGTTTTCTCTAGCAAGACCATGCAGTCGGTCTTGTTGTGTTTAGCAGCCTATGATAGTTTAAGAGCTTTCCACAACAAGATTTCAGACAGATCTCACCTCGATTGATTCAAGGAGGTACTGTGTAGTATTTGAAATCGGCTGCAAAAATGGCAAGCTTTCAGTAATAGGCTTGATCATTTCTGCAGCTGTCATCAAGCTCGCCCGGAGGTTCTTTAAGCGAGCCTCGAAAATGAGGCCAGTGGAATGTGACGGCATCTCTGGGTGGTTTAAAGTTCAATACCTGACAGCTGCCTTTATAGAAGTGTCGACGGAAGATTTTCCTCTGAATGGTAAACCGTTTATTAGCTTCCGTTCTAGTAACCGTCGCGGTTCTTGATCGCTTTCCGGGATTCCATCGAACTATTTCTACAGGTAGTCATATATCTCAATATTTGAGTTATTAAATGATGCTATGAACAGCCCATTTTCGAATTCCTTCGTTGCTTTCAGCTCTACTATGCATGCCGACATCTGCCGTGTTCCACTTGATGTCGGCTGATGTCGGCAGGGGCCAGCGACAGACCGGTAGCTGTCGGCATGCTGTGGCATCGCTGGGGGAACGCAGTGTTCCTGCGCCTAGTCAAAAATGCCTCTGCTGACATAGCCTCCATTCACCGAAAACAACCCTCATGCCATAATACTGACCTTCTTGAGGCAATGTACACGGGAGGCAAACATATACCATGACTACTACCAGAACTTCCACCCAAATATGGCAACCGTATTTGTTGATCCGACAAGAGAAGTGCACCGGCCAGTTGAAGACCTGTTGGTGCGGACACAGCGCGGACCGTTATCACTTTTGGCACTGCTGCCGTCACGTCGTTTTCAGCATCGAGATCTC